TAAAGATTGTTAATTTCTAAGAAACTGCTCTGCTATTTATAGAGGTTTCTCATATCCTCTAAATACCAAGTGAGTGTTGTTCTCATCACCACAATGGGTTTTGTTTAGGTCTAGGTAACTTGTACCTGGGCCTGGTTATGTGAAGGCCTCCTTTGTCAAATTTTGGCCAAAAAGGGGGAGAAAGGTTTTGATTAGATAGGAGATATTTTCCAAACATGTCGAATCAAATGTTCTATCATGTATTTGTTTGGATTTGTCCTTTGTAACCTGTAATCTTATTAAGAGTTCTCTTATTCCACCATTGGTCTTCTATGTTTAGAAGATGTTCTTGGATTTAGGGGGAGTACAAGTTGTCTTCTGCTATCTTCTTCCTCGTGTGCATCAACCAAACTTTAGGACTTTCCTTCCTTTTATCCTGAAGCTGTTGTTCGTTGGTGCTGATGCAATTGAGTTCTTTAGAGTGCCGCAAAAAAGATGTCAAACAAGATGTTGAGACATTATTTTCAACTGAAGATCTATTGCTATATGCAGTAGCTTCTGAACACTACTATCAAGGGTTATATTTTTTTATTGCTGAAATCTCCTAGATGACAATTGCTTTTAGATTATTTGTTTTAGCCAAAATTTTACAAAAGGGGAGATTGTTAGTTCTCTTGTTTTAGGATTGGATTAATTTTTGTAAAACAAATAATAGCAGCAATATGTACTGTAGAATAGTATGTATAAACCCGCTAAGAAGAACAGGTACAACAAGAAATCATATTACAATGTCAGAACATGTTGTGTTGAACTTTTTCAACAACTGGAACAACATGTCGAAGAAGATGTCTTTGACATCGCGCCTGCTGAGCTGGATTAATGAGATTCAGTTTATACTTAACAGAGGCAAAATATCCAGGAGAATATTATGCATCCTATGTGGCACATATTTAAAGGTCTAGAAAATTCAATCAGAAATCAAGGAGAATGAAGACTTTCTAACTAAGGAGATTATTTAGGAAACTAAAGATTTAAGACCTTTCTTGGTTCAGAAGTTTCTACAGTTTATTACAGTTGACTTACTATGATTGAAGGCCCAAAACCAGTTGGGTAACATATTATAAATAGAAGAGTTTGTAACCTAGAAAATATACGTCTCAAACTGTAGAAATCTAGGGTTTTGTCAAGGTAAACCTCCCGGGTTGTGGGAAGGTTACCATATTCACCTTGAAGCCTGTAGGTAAAAAGTGTATTATTCTTGAAGGAAGCTTTGAAGCAACTCCAGGAAGTGTTAGGAGCAAAGATAACAAACAATGGAGTTTGGCTTAGAGACTTAGCTAGGTTATCTTTGAAGTGTGTCTTCCAAACTGTCTATCTGTGTGATCAGAATCTTGGTGAAGCGCCATCGATGCAGTGACTGAGGTGTTGAATGCTAGAAATTATGGAGATAATTGGAAGTGGGATGGGGATATTCCATATCTAGGAAGGACCTAGGTAGAAGGGTCATTAGATATTGATTAAGTACGTAGATCATCAACGAGTGTGTTGGCTGCAGGGTCTGCAAATTGATACTGCTGATAGTGGACTTCATTCCTAGCTTGGTAGCCCCCAGAGTAGGTGTTGTTGTACACTGATTTGGGTAAATAATTCTGGTGTGTTCTTTATCTTTTTAGTGTTGTTTTATCTTGCATGTGTGCTTGTGTCAGATCAGATGTCTCGACATTCTTATAAGACATCTGAGTCTGCTGTACTAGAATTTCAGCCTCCATTAGTAACCTTGAATCATAGGCTGGCCAATTAGCCAAGAAGTTATCAGTACTACCAATTAACATATTTAGTGTAAATACGAAGAATATTTTGAAGTACTGTTGTAGTGTTGTTCTTGCAGATGAAAGAATTGTTGTCAAATCCAAAGAAGAAGCAGAAGGACCAGAGATAGGATAATTGCATAACAAGGCTTGCAAATAGAATCAAAAAGACTTACTTAGGAAATAAGCTGACTCTGAAGTAGTAGTGTTACATGCTTCCATAGGTAATATAAAAGTTGAAAATTCACTTATTAATTTAGGTGTAAATATGAATATAATACCATTATCAGTTGTAGAAAGGATTCAATAAGCCATATGCATCAACATTGCAAATGGAAAACATAAAATGTAAGACACCTGTGGGAACAATCAAAGATGTACTAATATAGATTAATAAGTTATCATTTTCTATGGACTTTGTGATACTAGATATTAAAGCATGCCCAAAGACGCCCCTTATATTAGGAAGATCATTCATAAAAATCGCAAGGATGCCATGGATATTGATAAAAGGGAAGTAAAGTTTAGAATCAGAGTTATAAGATAATTGATATTACATAACATTGATCACTATTAAACAACTGATGTTAAACAAGCGCTTGTTGGGAGACATCCCAACATATTTTACAATTTTCTCTAAAATAGTCTTTAGTTTATTCATTTCTTTTAAAAAAACACATTGATGAAAGCAAAATGCCAAACCACCAAAAAATGCACTCGCTAAGCGCAAAATGGCCAATGTCATTCTTTGCCTAGGGCCCAAAATACACAACACGGGCTCCCGACTAGCACAACCTAACTCGCCTAGTGAGAGACAAGTTATAGAAAATTGGGAACACGACCAGACTTAAAATTAACTTCTCTATCATTTTTTCCACCTCTCTCATTTTTGAAAAACCGTAGGACACACTAGGAACTTCATATAAAGGAAAAAACATCACAAATTTTCATTATAATCTGGTTTGTTGAGGAATGTCATTTTACTCTATTTTGCTTAAAATCTTATATATTTTGAACATTGATGCAACAATAACGTCGATTCTATGATTTAAGAATAGATTAGAGACATTTTATTGTTCCATGATGTTAACATAAGATATAGGGTCTGTTTGTTTTGATTTTTAAAAAAAATAATTTTTATAGTGTTACATAATTTTGTGTAATAAAAATTTACAAATAATTTTTTTATAAAAGCTTCAAATAAAATTTTGGTTTGAATAGTTATTCTTAAAATCTTATTTTAGTTATTTCATCTTTTTATTGAAATTTTTTTTGGATATTAAAATTTCAAAAAATCACTTAATTTTGAAGCTATTTCAAATATATTTTCATAAAAATCATTTTTGAAATATAACTTTTTGAAAAACTACTAGAATACATGTGCATTCGCACGGGTGGTATGGTATGCATATTTATTTTTTAAAATATAATAAAAATGAAATAAAAAATGAAATTATTCAACCATATAAAAATATTTGAATTAATATATACATTTTTGTATATAAATATTATTTTTGTTTTGTCATTATTTACAAAAATATTAGAATCATTAGTAAACTTTTTTCCATTATTATTCAATATTTTGATAAGTTCCTTCATATTTCAGTTATAAATGTTTTATTTTCGTGTTTTGAAAAAATGATAAGTTATGATTTGATCAAAATTTGTTTCATATAGTTAGTATGTACATTTGTTTCCAAAATATAATAAAGTTGTTACCGTTTATAACAATAATATTTTTTTCATTAATATTTTTCATTAATCTTTTCCCGTATATATAAATAATTTAATCATTAATGTATTTTTTCTCGTATATAAATATTGTTTTTGTTTTGACATTAGTTATATATTTGAATCTATATACAAATATTTGAATCAACAATGTGTTTTTAGCCCGTAAATAAATATTATTTTGTTCAATGACATTGAATTTTACTTATATATTTTTATTTATTTTTCATTAATCTTTTCGCATATATTTAAATAATTTGATCAACAATATATATTTTTCCGTATATGATTATTATTATTTTTGTTTTGACAATAGTTATATATATATAAATATTTGAATCAACAATATTTTTACCTGTAAATAAATATTATTTTATTCAATAACACATTTTTACTTATATTTTTTAATTTTATTTTAATAGAAGTTTCTTTATATTATTTTTCTATGACAAATTTAGTTATCAATTACACCAAAAATTAGTTAATAAAATGATTCATCAACTACACACAATATTTGTAAAAGTAATTATTAACTAATGACAATAAATACTAAAATAGAATAAATTTATATCAATCACACATAAAGTTGTAATCATAATTGGTGGGAGATAAAGAGCATAGGGAAGTGACTCTTGCTTATTCAAAAAACTGTCCGAAAAAATATGCATTGGAAAAGTGAGAAAGTTTACATTTGGTTTTAATAGATCAATGAAACATTTTGCTAGGAAAGAAAATATAGCAAACAAAATAAAATAGTAGTTTGTTTGGAACCAAGTCAGAATTTGGTTACAAATGAAGGTTTCAAATGAATTCTGACAGATCAATAATTGGAAGAAAAAGATAAATGTCAAGATATGCCATACCATATGACGAGCACAGATTCGAAAGCTACATCCAAAAGAAATTTTACAATGAGTTGGAAAGGAAAAACTTGGTCCAAGAGAATACACAAGAGTTGGAGGATCTGGGAGAATATTTCGATATGGTGACAAAGATAAATGCACGGGGTATGAGTGTTCTGAACACTCCTATTGAAATTTTATGCATATGTAAAAACTATTGAAGATGCACAAAATGAGACCGACATGAGATACAATTGAAAGTAACAAGTACGACTGTTAAAAAAAATCCATGAAACGAACCAAACTGTTAAACTGAACCAAACCGAAGTTAAAATAACCAAATCATTATATTTGGTTAGTGAACCGAACCGTTATTTTACTAACGGTTCTAGAACCGAACCAAATTAAAAATAACCAAAAGTAAACTAGAACTGAACCATTAATACATGGAAAATTGAAAACTGAACTTTGTTGAAACTTGAAAACCAAAAATTGAAAACTGAACTCTCGTTGAAACTTTTAAACCAAAACATGAAAAATCAAGAACCCTAAATTCCCAAATCGATGAAGCTCCAAAGATAAAGAATCCTAAATTTCCAAATCATTGAAGAATCCTAAATTCCCCCTCTCAGTCGCATTTATGTCATCCTTACCAAATCATAAGCTCCTCACCTCGCCTCCGTTATGCTCCAGTTCAGCTTTTTCAGCCCTCTCCATTGTATTGTGTTCATTTTCATCCTTCAAAGAACGCAAGACCGTGAACTCAAAATCAAAATCGAAGGTAGCAAAAGGGTTTCTTTATTTTGTGCTTGGATTCTCTTTTATTGGGTTAAGGGTATATTTTTTAAAATCATATTTGTGTTTGGTTACTGTGATTTTGAAGGTGTTTTTCAACACCCAAACTTGGTTTATTTGTTTGGAGCTATGAATTTTGGTTTGGTCTATTCTATTATGATGAATTATTCAATTGCAGTTGCTATGGTTATTTGACTAGTATTGAAGCATGTGTTATCAACAACTTATTTGACTGTGTAATATAGTTACAAGTAAACCAACCAACTTGTGTTAGTTTAGAGTTACTTTCGGTTACAATCTCTTAGACGATAGGTGAAGTTGAGCTACAAAAATATGCACCTATATAACAATGTAACAACTACCTCATTTATCCTTGAGTTTGTTAAATTATAATTCGATTGTGTCGAAACAGTGTGTGTCAAAGGGAGGTTGTCCAGTCGAAGAACTTGTGGATCAAAGCAAGCTACACACAAATTTGATTGGTTTTAGGTTTAGATAGATTTGATTTAGATATAAATTAGATAGATTTGATTTAGTACCAAAATAGGTATTTTAGGCTTTTATAGTTTTGGGCTTTGACTTAGGGAGCAAGCTAACATAAATATATAAATAGAGAGAGTAACCCCTAATTTTGTAATTAAATCAATTCAGTGTAATTACAGAATTTGCAGTTGCAAGTGATTAATAAAGTTTTCCACAATTTGTGGGCAGAGAGAAACTATGTAGAAAATAATTATCTTCTTTCTTTTCTTTTCTTTTATTTTCTCATAATTCATTATCATTGTGTAGTAATATCAATCTTGTTCATCAAGATTGGTAGAAATTCTTCATTGATATTTGGTGGATTTCCAGCATCTGGTATCAAGAGCTCAGTTAATCGATTTAAGGGAAGTATCGTTCAAGAACGATTGAGGAAGAAGAAGAATTCACGATGGCGAGTTATAGAAATGCAAATTATCCCGCAACTCTACCAACTCTGAAAGTAGACAACTATGAGAATTGGTGCAAACAGATGAAAGTTTTATTCAGGTGTCAAGGTCTTTGGGGTCTTGTAAAGGATGAATTGGAAGCGCTTGGAAAAACGCTTTAGAAGAAGAAAAGAAGAAACACACAGAATCTGAGAAGCTGAGTTATAAAGCACTCTTTATAATTCATCAATGTCTAAGTCCAGATAATTTTGAAAAAGTGAGTGATTCAGAATCTGCAAAAGAAGCTTGGGAGGTTCTTGAGAAGTCTTTTGGTGGTGTAGAAAAGGTGAAAGAAGCGAGGTTACAAACTCACAAGAGAATGTATGGATTGATTCAGATGGAAGATAGTGAGAGCATATTTAATTTCTTCACTAGAGTTACAAAACTAGTGAATCAATTGGTATGTGGAGAAACATTAACAACAAGAGCTGTTGTTTCGAAGATCTTGAGATCTTTGGCTCCTAAGTTCGACTACATGGTGGTGGCTATAGAAGAGGGGAAAAACTTGTCGAAATTGACAAAGGAAGAGCTCTAAGGGACGCTTGAATCTCATGAATAAAGAATGACTGAAAGAGCTGCAAGCAAGTCGAAGAGTGATATGGCTTTGCAGGCACATTCAGCAAAAGAAACCAAAGGTAAAGGAAAGTGGTTCGACATAGGTAGGGGAGGCTACAACAAATCAACTGGTAGAGGAAACCAGAATGAAGGAAATGTTTCGAATCAGAGAAGACTACTAAGCAACCAAAGAGGTGGTATTACAAATAGAGGAAGAGGTGGTGGTCGAAAACCTGACAAGAGTCACATTCAATGTTACAATTTTCAGAAGTATGGTCACTATTTGAGTGATTGTCCAGAAAAGAAAAAGAATCAAGAAAGTGATGCAAAGTTTTCAAAACATGAAGAAGAAGAGATGATGCTGATGGTCACAGCAAGAGATAAAGATAGATTCAAGGACCAATGGTACTTGGATTCAGGATGCTCATCACATATGTCTAGAAGGAAAGACTGGTTTGTCAACATAAAGCCCTTGTTGTACCCTAAAATTTACCCTCTCATTTCTCAAAGAATCATCTTGGATCCTCAAGTTTGCTTCTATCAAGTTTCAAGTCTTGGATCACAATTGTCGAAGAAAATCATTCACAAGGGCAAAATGGTCAATTGCATACTGAAAAGTCAAACTTTGACTTTTGGATCAAAACCAAGTTTCAAGAATCATATTTTATCAAGGGATGTTAAAGTATGAAGCTTTTTTCATCAAGAAAATCAAAAGTCAAGATTATGTTGAAAAAAGTCAAAATTCTAAATACTTAGAAATTTTTCTAAGTGTTTAAGAAATATGATAAATTCAGAACTTCTGGCCAGATTTTCACCATGATGCAAGTTGATTCTGGAAGAACTTATAACGCAAGAGTTGTAGGCCTCAATGGGATCTAACACATTACATAACATAACTTCTTCTAGAAAAGCTGGGATTTCAAGTTATACAGCTTCAAAGGCACGTCATTAAAACTGAAACATTCAGCAAATTCTGGACCTTTCCAAAACAGGATTTGGTTAGAACTTCTGGATCAATTTTTATATAAGTCCAGTCAGAATCTATAAGATCAATTCAAAGAGGGTTTACAAAGCGTGTTGTAAGCTTTCTGGAAAGTCTGAGAGCTCACTCAGAACACGCTGGAGCAAAGAGATTCAAAGATCATAAATTGGATGTTTGTTCTAAGTTGCGCTGATGTTGAACTTCTGATCCAAATTAAGCTATGATACATAATCTCATACTGCAATATTTCTGTTTTGATAAATCTCATCATCATTTAATGCTCACAACCACTTTTGAGTTTTTATCCAAAGGATTTTCCCACGTGTGAGATAGAAGTACCATTGTTGTCTTGGAAAAGTAAACTTTTGTACAAGAGTATGCTGGGCCCATGCTTTGCTTTTTCCTCTGAGGGTACTTTTCCTTAATTCATGCTTACAAATCCAACTTAGGTACGGCTAAAAGCTGCTAACCACCATACTTGTTTAACTTTCTTTAAGAACAAGCCAACGCCCTAGCATGATGGTTGTACTCTTGACTTATCCAAGCTACAAAATCCTTGCCTATAAATTGAATTTCATCTGTAACTGTAAAGATGTCGAGAAAAAAATTGAAAAGAAGATCCTTGAAACCTTGCCAAAAATTCAAGGAATCTGAAACTACAAACACAAATACAAAACTGCTGGTTTTTGATTCTTGCATTCAAACTCCAATTTCCCTCAAGTGTTTCTTGACCAAAATTATCCATACAACTTCTGATATACATTTAAAAGTTATCTTACTTCTATTTTCAGACTGTAACACGTTCTCCATCAGTCTCCACCTCAAAAAGTCAGAACTTTGCTTCTTGGCTGTTCAAAATTTTCCAGCCATTCATAACTCAAATTAAAGATTGTTCCAGTTTGCTGTGCGCGTGAGGAAGCTGGTCAAAACATCACAGCAGTCAGAATCAAGCTCTAGCTCACATGACATTTTCCAGCTGCAAGGTAAGTTTCTGCTGACTCTCATCATATTACTTAGGCATTGTTAAACTTGCATGTCCAAAATACAATATAGACATCCTGATTCTGATGTTGTACATATTCTGAGGTATCATGCTTTTTTCTGTCTAAATAGGGAGAATACCAGTTAAGACCTTTTAGTAGGTAGGTTGCTCCTAGTTTCTCGCTTGCTAAAAAAAACATTTTATACACCAACACTCTCATTTTGAAACATTTTCAAAAGACAAACATTTTGTACGCGTTCTTATAGAAACGAGAGCCATTACAAAGATACTTTTCAAAATCACTTTCAAAAACACATTCCACGAACATCCCTTTGAACTATTTTCAATACTAACACTTTGTACGCGTTTTTATAGAAAGGAGAGCCATTATAAAGACGTTTTCAAAATGCTTTCATAACCCACACCACAAGCACATTTTCAAACAAAAGCAAGTGATCTAGCAAGAAACTAAGAGCCCATAGATAACTATGGATGAAAAGGGTGCTAATACCTTCCCTTTCCATAATCTACTTCCCGAACTCAAGAAATAATCTCAAAGGTCTTTCCTGTTCTTTTCAGCCTTTCCTTTTGGATAAAAGCAAAGTCGGTGGTGACTCTTGCAAAACCTTAACATTTGCGATAAAACGTAAAACACCTAATTCAGTTCTCCCACCGTATCACAGAACTAGAGGCTCTGTTGGGGATTCCACTTAAAAGTGGGGTTACCTTAGGGCTAGATCACCTTTACTTGCCTTCTTTGTTTGACTTGTTTGATTTATATTTTTGGGTCTTTGCTTGGGCTTTTGTTAAAGATCCTACACCCTGATCTGGGGCACCTTTTTAGGTAAGTAGAAATAAATCATGGAGGTTGTACGACATAGACCGATATGGACAAAGTGATAGCTACGTTAGCGTGATACTCTGGCTTGTACTAATGTTCCTTGAGTCAGTCAAGGATAACATTAGGCTTCCTTATAGTGTCATTAAGTGCTAACCGACCTTTAGAACCTTTATTTGACTCATCCTAAGCCACTAGAAAGTAGTGAGATGGCCGAATTTGGTTCCGACCAAAGATTAGTTGATACTCGATGCTACACTAATTGAGATTGGACTTTTGGGATATTCTGGCTGCAATACTTCGGTGCTTGAGCTAGAACAATGCCTAAAAGAAAGGTCGGTGATATGAGACTCCCTAGAACCCGATTACTATTACTAGGACAGGTTGAGACAACTAAAAGAGAGTATTTACCCACAAACTCCATGCAAGCCTAAACCTAAGGACTTGTCTGCTTTGTGTGTATATGACTATTTGTACATAAACAACTTGCTTACTTTGCATACTTGTACATAACATCATAACATCATACCGTAGCATTTTCAATAACCATTTCAAGGATCTCAAGGTTCTGTAATGTAGGGTCATGTTGAACCAGACGCCTATCAAGGGGAAAAAGGATTCATTCTCTAATCAAATACCGTCAAGACCAAAGCACGGTAACTTGAGTCAAGGGCTATGACCCACTTGACATGGTGAGCTTGATTCTCGTGGAAGGACATCCACCGATACAAAGTTTTCCAATCAAAGTTGTTGATCAAAATTCAACTTCTAACATCTTCTTGTGTTTACTCTGCGAGATCCTTGAAAA